TATTATAATCTATTATAATAAAACTATTATAATAATAATTTGTTCTACCTATATTGAGCAAATTCCTTAAATATTTTCGAAACACACATTCTTTTATAAACTTTTCACTCAATGTGACTGAAAAAATCTCAAGTTTTTACTGTGTATTTTTGATCTTCTTACGGAAAACTGTAAGAGCATAAAAAAACTTGATAGATTTTTCTTTGCCTGTCATATTCAATAAAACACACGCGCGTACATAAATTTGTATCTAAGATTTCTATGTTCTCTGATATTATCAATAAACCAGATATCCACATAGTGAATTGTAGGTATGACTGCATATTTACTAAAGCAATATTCTCCTTCTGTTTTCTCTAAACCACACGCAAAATGTGTTGCTATTTCGTGCTTTACAGCTTCTTGGCAACCATCTTCTGTTGTTCTTGTCGTTAATTACTTCGATGATCCTTTGTATCCCTTAAATTATTATCTTATTATTATTTCACCTGTTTTTGGTAAAGTATAAAAGTTCATAATCAACACAGTATTCGTTATCTATCTCACCTGACACGGTCAACATTCAGAATAAATAATATGGCTTTCGATTCTCTAGGTCAGCTGTCGATGAGAAAAGGGTTTTTACTGAAAGAGTATACCACGCTTTAGATAAGAAAATCGCTGCTCGGATTGTGGCTTTAAATATCTCAAAGACATTTGACAGAGTTTCGTACAGGCCTAACTTTTGTCACGATCTTATATTTCTAAAGAAATCTTGTAACGGAAGTCATGTTATAATGTTGTATTTCCACAATAATACGGGGGTTCCCGCCGGGCTCTGTCCTTGGAATTACTTTCTTATCTATATCAACGACCACCTCGATGTTATCAGTTCCCAAATCGCCACTTATGCTGAGGACGCAACCATTTAATTCTATCTTAATTGTAATACGATAGGTCTGATAAAGTAAATCTGACAGGTGACCTACGAAATGTCTTTCAAACTCATGTTAGCTGTGGCAATAAAGGGCTTATAAATTTTAACGACTCCAAAACGAAACTCCCGCCTTATTTCATGTCCTAGAGCATCCTTGGGCCCTCGTGTTGGCATGATGTGGAAAGGCTTTATTGAATCAATTGCTCGGTCTGCTGCAAGTATAATTGCTTCTCTGTGCTGTCCTGGATAACCTTACTTGCCAGAATCGATCTTTCACATTTATAAATTTATCATTGAATATTGCTGCAACATCTAGTCTGGATGGAAATAAGTTGAAAACACAAATCAAAGGAAATAATAATAATAATAATAATAATAATAATAATAATAATAATAATAATAACATAATATGTATTCTTAATAAAAACAGAATGTCTTCTTATTATGTTTGTGTGAAGATGTTGAAACACTATCAAAATACAAGTACCATGAAATCCAATATCTTAAAAAAATGAGGAATGTGAGCTCTTGAGTTGATAGGAGAAGATACCGATACTAATTGAAGGAAATCAAGCTATTCCAAGCCTTAGATGAATGCAAATCTTTTATTCACAAGTATAGCCCAAACCTTACGAACGGCTTTATCTATGTAAAATATGCCTGATTTTGGGTTTAGTTTTCTTTTGTTTTTGTTTTCCCTCGAAAAATGCTCAGTTGAAATTGCTATGATGCCATTTCTGAGCTTTGGTTTCTGTTTGGGTTGACGAAATAAATGAGTAAAGGAAATAATAATAATAATAATAATAATAATAATAATAATAATAATAATTTTTACGGCATAATATGTCATTGTGAAATAATGTTATAATATCATAATGACATAATATCATGATAAAGACATAATTTCAGACTGAAATAATGACATAATATGTTATACTGGAATACAGATCTCTCACTCTCGCATTCTAATCGTGTGCTTCTAAGTAAAGTCATGAAAATTCAATGTGGAATTTTTCGAGGAGGGGGCATATCTTCTCTTCTTTTTTTTATCTGGCGTTAATTCTCTTATCGAAATTGTTAAAAGAATACTGTATATGGGTATAAGATTAAAAATAAACGATAAATAATCTATATTATATGGATAATTTGAAATTATATCCAAGAGATGATGATGAATTTGAAGACATTTTTAAAGACTGTGAAAGATTTCAGCGAACGGATATAAATTTCATTCGCAGCAGATAAATGTGGGAAGGAAGGAAATCATGTTAGCGGCGAGAATATGATTTTTGATGTAGATTCTGTGATTAAGAATTTCGACTACCATATCTGAGTGTGAACAAAGGCAATGTAATACATCCTTCACAGGTCAAAGAAAAAACAGAATGGTGTACATGATTCATATATTAAATTCGATAAATAGTGTAACGGTTATTAACACTCCTGACATCACGTTGTAACCTGTAACTTCAACATAATAACTGGGAATGTAAAGAAATTCAAAACAATATATCCAGGAATTAGCAAACAACTCATGCAATAGAATATACCACCCTACGTCAGATGGTAACCGTCTTGATTTCCATTGTTATTGTCTAAGAAATGTTAACATTGGGAATCTTAGGCATCTTTCTGTTATACAAGACTGGATGTTAAATCTCGTAATGGAGCATAAAAAATAAAAAAAACGAACCATTATATATTCCGTAATAATGAGTCCAAAAATAATAATAAGTCGGCCCCAAAATGAAGGTTCTGTGAACAATATATTGAAACTGTTGATCCGCTTATCTCAAAATGCTTAATACAGAAAATGTATAAAAAACGTCACGAAAAAGTAGGTTAATATTTGCAGTGGAAGATCTTTCAACATGACGGGATAAAACAGGTGCAAACTGGTATAAACATAATTCTGAATCTGTAATTGAGGGAACAGATGTTTCCATCTTCTGGGTTGATTTTTTATCAACAAAGATCGATCATTATTATTAAAAACAGAAAAAAAAAAACGTTTGCACAGAGATTAAAATAAGCGTACGAGCTGAAAAAAAAACAAAAAAACAAAAACTTATCTGAATAGGTTGTTAAATACAAAACCTGGAGAAATAGGATACTTAATTAAAACCGTCCCTATTAGGGTAATAGCTTAAGGTCTGATAAAGTATGGAGCTCATGAACAAAATCTGTGGTGCACCATGTCTCCACAAAATCGTCCAGAGATTTCTAACAAGCATTGCAAATATATATATAATTCATTTAATTAGTTTTGTTAGTAGTTGTATTCTGTTTTAACAAACATTTCATCCTACACTTGGTCTGGGTCATTGGTTATGGCCGGTGATTGTGATTATAAGGCAAATGCTGGACAAGAGGTATGGCACTTGAAAATAGAACAATCTACCTCCGGGGATTAAATAGTGTTCGGTTCAACATTTTAAGGCCGGAGTGTACAACAGTAGATACGGCGTAAATATGGCAACAAAAATGAAGACAACAGTCCGAACAATGTAAATAGTGTGACTATTTATAATACCTCATCTCAGAAATATAGGCAAATATTATATTTAAAAAAAATCAGAATGTTTAATCTTTAATATCATCAGAACCTTACGCCAGTCAGTTATGTGCTTGCGTGAATCATGCCTAGGCGATCAGGTATCTTTCAAAACATGATTGGCGAGTATTTTATTAACATTTCTTTCTGCGGTAGACCAGTTGCCATCCAAAACTATGAAGCCCGGTCTGTCCTGCTATTTAGCCTATAGCTGGTAGGAGAAAATGAGGAGCCATACGTTTCCTATGAATATTAGCATGTAAGTCAATAAGTTAATAGATTTGACAGGAATTCGATCTCGGCTCTCAGAGTCGCTCTCCATTATTTTTACATACACTTTATTTGGTACCCTCGTCATTTTGCTTTTATTTTGGCACTAATGCCAGTTACTAATGCCACTTTATAAGATAATCCAAATCATGGAGAAATCCACAGGAATCTATAAAAAGACATTTCCACAGAAACGTAGGAATTAATAAATAATAAGCAAAAATAATTCTATGCGGAGAGGAGGTATTCTTTGTCCTGAAAATATATCATTTAAAAAAGTCATTTCAGAATTTGTCGGCAGAAACAAAGCTCTGGAATTTGAAGGCTCTACCTTATTCGTGAGGATTGTCCAGTATCAGCAAAATAGATATAGGTTGATATAATATAGCTATCGGAAAATATTTTCTATATTTAAAATAGAATTTTCCGACCTCACTATTTTGCTTTGATCAGCCGATCAGCCTGTCTATTTCTGTATAACATTTTCCTTGTCTCTTACTGCATTATGCAAAATGCTAAATTTCCTATTGTGGCGTCTGTGTTACGTAGCCCCCAGCGATTATTTTTGCCGATAAGACATGCGGGCTGTCTTATCAGTGTTAATCGTTTATCTTCCTTGGGCGGAACAGTGATACAGACTGGTCAACAGTCAAACTCTCTGCATTTGGCAGAGGGAAACCCGAACGAGGAATTGCCGAAGGGTAAAGTTTCGTCCGGGGAGGTAGACAGACCCTGAACCCGTTTATCCGGGTTCTAAGGGAATATTTTTGGCCGAGCCTACGGGCTCGGAGAATCCACGGTAAACTCGGCGTTGTGCCACATACATCCATCGTGGCTGGGTGTTAGATATTAATAGTTTATCTTCCTTAACTGCAGGTCTACTCTTCTCACTGGTATTGCGATCTGACGTCGTACTATTACGTACGAGAAAAACAAACTAACCATTTCATACAGATTGTTGCAAGATTGTTGTTATGTTATATTTAAAGCCTATCCCGACGATATAAAGCAGAAAACTCACATTTTAGGCATAAATATATTTATACAATCCAACCATTAAATAAAATTCCAAACATTTTGAAAATTTAAGATATATAAACCATAAAAGAGATATGAAATATGAACGGAAAAACGGTGTCATTTAGGTTTTATCTCACCCAGAGAATTACATAGAAACACTCCAATAATTAACGCTTATGCCAAATGACAACTCAAGGCCATTGATCTACAAAGAAACAATTTGTTTTTATAATGTTTGAAATGTCTATGAAATTTCAACAATCGGTTCTGTTCAGTCGATTTGCCATTATCTGTTTTTATATTCGGTTTAACATCATTTTACTTTATTTCGTCTCTGCTCGAATTCGTTTCGTTCGTTAGTGATGTTTTTAATTCGCTTTTTAAAACTTCCGCTTCAGTTCTTGTACTTATTTATCTTTAGTAACATTCTTCTATTTTCGTTATGATTCATTTTTTCTTTTGTTTTCATCCGAGATTTCGCTTTTTAACTAATTTCTTATCTCTTATGTTATTTATATGTTATAGTTTCTCCTTCGACTTTTATATTTTTCTTCCTTATAAACATTTTCTGTCTTCTTTTCCTTTTCTGTTGTTATTTCCTTTATATCTTTCATTTCTTTCTCGAATTCTTTTTTCGTTATCTCGTTCGTGCTGGTTTTATTTATGATTTCAGTCAGTATTTCTCCTCTTTTTCTCTTCCTAATATTCATCTTGTTCTTTCTTTCTTAATTTCTTTCTTTCTTTTGTTCAATGCCTTTCGTTCGTTTGTTCTTTTCTTTTTCCTTTTTCTTTTTAGTACTTTTTTTTTCATTCCCATACACCCCCTGTCTCTCCCTACCTTCCTTCCTTGCTTTATTTTTTCCTTAACATCCGACTTTCTTTTGCTCATTTCCTTTAATTTTTTCTTTTTCCTTTTTATTTCCTTGTTTCCTTCTTTCTTTCTTCCATCCCTATTTACCTCAGCAGATTTCAGATTTCTTTACTTTTTTCTAGTATACTCTTTCTTTATTTTTTCTTTCTTTTTTAATTTTCCTTCTCTTTTCTGTTCAATATTTTGTCTTTCGTTATTTTTATTATTTCTTTCTATTTTTCTTTCATTCTCATCATTCAAAGAGTCATTAATCATTTCCATCTTTATTTACATTTGGAAACCTTAAATATTTGGCACTTCTGATTGAATTGTTTTGTTTGTGGCGCCACCTTTCTGTTTAAAGTTTGTTCAAAAACATTCCAACAAATGCGTTTCGATTGAGAATCGATTCAGTGAAATCATAATTATTAAAAGGCACTTATTGCCATTAACAGTACATTTAGTCCATATTTATTATATGTCAAGCCCCAAAATATATCCTACAATATTTTTTTTTATGTAAGGAGAATAATTCTTTTTATCCCTGATTTTCTTTTCTAAATCGAATATTTTCCTCCGAAAATAAAAATGTTTTGTCTCTTTAACATTCGATTCAGTTCGGTTAGCTTTAGTTAACAAGCAGTTTTTATACATGTGATTACGTTCTTTAGATTCCAGTAAATGCCGCAATTCGATGTCTTGTATGTTTTATTGCTTCTTTTCTTTACATTTCTCTGTTTTTACCAAAGTACCAGCAAACAGCAAAGCTCAAAGTGCACCAACAATCTCTCCAGTGAAGCATACGGCTTACATACAAGCAGGAACGCTTTGCCTAGCGTTCGACGATTTAGTTTACACAATGCTTAAATAATCTTTCCTTAAGACAGAAAAAAGGAACGTTGAGCGCACTTTTGCAAGAATGCACGAAATTTTGGGAAAACAGAAAAAATTGAGAGAGAAAATGAGAAAGATTTATGTGGCATTTTCTATTGAAAAGAGGGGAGGTTCAATTCTGATTAGCGGCAAATTAAAGATGATCATCGAGTTTTTTTCGTGAATTTAATACAATTTCGATCGACAAATCCTGAGAAAAGGGGAGGAATGTGTTGATTATATTGTTATGATTTTCGATGTGTAAAGTGACATTGTTAAAACGGTTTCAGATTCTGGTAGAGTTATTTGCCATGCAGCAATACGATTGGAAGATATCAAAATAAGAAGTTTAAACATCTGGGAGGCGTTTTAATAAAGAATGAAACACCCGAAAATGAAGTACTAACTCGCATCCTATTAGCGAATGTTTTATTAAAAAGCTAAACAAAGTGTTGAGAAACTGAAAAAAAAAACTGGTTAGAAACAAAAAAATGAATGATGTATTTTGTATGTGATACCCATCCTCTCATACAGCAGTGAATGTTGGACAATCTCTCGACGTAAACGTGTTTCTACAGAAGTATTCTTAGGAGTCAACAGACACAGTGAATAAGCAAGTCTTAAAGAAAATGATAACAAAAAAGGCCCTTATACCAAAAATCAGAAATACACAGCTGAAATTTGTCGAGAATGATGAAGATGGCTAGAAATATATAGCAAGGCACTTTGCTGATGAATTTTCTTGAATTGATGGCTGAACGAGGATGAGAGATACTTTCCAAAGGAATAAACATTACTGAGGGCCACAATGGTTACAATGTTCCGGAGAACCATGATCTACCATTTTCTGAAAGGACACGGCATATAGAAGAACATTAAAAATTCTCTTGCACCAGAGAATGGTATTCTATATCCTCTTCTAAACTCAGGCATAATATTAGTGTAGTTTGTTCTCTCTGTACTTGAGTTTAATTATCACTTTAAATCCCGTAGATAATAGGGTAGACTGGTCAGTGTAGCTTTAGTATGGTGACATATCTAGGTGAAGTACAACTTCGAATTAACAAGAATATAGACTGATATGGCATAGCGAAGGTATTTGATACAAACTTTCTACATCTGATGTTCCAATAACACTAACTGGCTACCAGACTATTGAGCATGAATATATATATATATATATATATATATATATATATATATATAGGTTGATTAATAAAACAATGGAAAACGAAAGTGTACCAATGTGATCAGTGCAAAAAGAATTTTTTATATATTACTTGTTAATCACAAGCCTGAATGACGCACGGAAATTAATGTTATTAGTCCGGAATTTTCGGGCACGCCTGTGGCCTTTATCAGCGGTGCGAGAAAGAAACAGAGAAACGTGGGAGACTCACCAAGGGTGTTTTTTTTTTTTGGGCTGGTGTGAACTCGTTTTAGATGGTATTATTAGTATAAATCCAATCCTTACTTTATTCCACGCCTGCGAAACTATATATATATATTTTTTTTTTAATGATCGGGTGAAGGCATTTGTCAGTTTTGTATTTATCGGTGTGGAATGTGCGGGAGTATGATTTTGAACTAGGATAAGAAGCTTTTAGGATTTGGATTGGGGATGACGCCCCATTTATATATATATATATATATATATATATATATATATATAACGTCATCCACAGACAGACTGTTTCGCAGCTCATCAGTGTGGTTGCCTCTAGTTAGGATCGAAACCCGACTGAATTGGTGTCAGTCGGAGATTCTACAACTAAGCCGTCGTGAATGTGGATTTTTAGCGTATTTATTTTTAGAAACACGCCCAGTGACCGACAGTGACTCATTTGAGAGTCTCGCTATATAGCTACAATAGTCACTGTTTACAAACCCACCTCCTCCCAAGAGAGCTCAACTGAAATTAATTTTTCAGGAGCCAATATAACGTCATCCGCAGACAGACTGTTTCGCTGTTTCACAGCTCATCAGTGTGGCTAAACATCCGGTTGCCTCTAGCTAGGATTGAAACCCGACTGAAGTGGTGTCAGTCGGAGATTCTACCACTACCTTCTTTAAGTAGGTTGAAGGAATATGGAAATCGGGAAAGTTATAAATATATAATGATGAGAAGACCATTGAAAACAAAGGAAAATCTGTTAGGAAATGTCTAGTTACTGATATAGTACTCATAGACAGCGATTGAGGTGACATATATGTTGTGCTATCGAGTAATACCAAGTTTATCATGTACATGGAGGCAGTTTTAAATAAATATAATGAAGGAAAATATAATTGCAATATGCTGAGCATTTGTCTTAATCATTTCCCTCACAAAGTGTCATTGGATTATCGAGTGTTAAAGAAACTAAGAAAACATTTACGATTTTAGAGGAGATTAAAAGTCATGGATTCAGAAAGTCAGCAGATTAAGAATGTCGTTCCATTTGCATACTCGAAGATGGCAGATGACAAGTAATCGAGGAACCAGAAGAAATTTTTACAAGGTAGAAGTATGAGAGAAGAACACATTAGTATAGAAATTATGCTTACATAAGTTTTTTTTTTCTTTTTCTATTCACTCGCCGCAATTTATTCTACTTTTTATCTCTTAGTGAGTTTCTTTTTACAGTCACTCATACTCATTGCTTAGCCAAACAATTACACAAACACCTTAGAGAGTATATTCACTGCTAATCATTTTCTCTCTTGCGTTCAATATGTCTTGTGTACCCTAAAATTACTACCATCTATTTCTGATTGTAATTATAAGCGCTTTTTTTTTGTTTTTATTGTTCTTAACACTTCTTTCTTGTCCCATAAGTTCGGTGCATGGTGTAGAACCAAATTTCTATTGCTTCAAATCTTTCTCAACTTTGAGGAGCTTGTCTAGCATTCACTTCTATATAAGAGGGCAAAGTTTACGTAAGAGTTCAGCACTTTTACTTCGATTAAATATCTGGATTCGAGGAAAACCTCATCGGAATTAAAATGAAAGTATTTATAGAAAAAGCAAGTGTAGAATACGTTACGGCGGTTTGCGTGTGTCCAAAGCCGAAACGCCAGATCATAAACGATAATACTGCATATGCTTGTGGATTCTGTCAAAGATTTCTAGATATATATAGAAGCAACCCACGAGACATGACAGCACGGCTGAGATGCATGTATTGTAATGTAGATGCTGGAGAAAAAGATTGCATAGCACGACTCAGTAAACATTGTTTCTTAGCAGCAGACCTAGCAGTTTATTAAATATTATCATTTCTCTCTCTCTCGCTCTCTCTCTCTCTCTCTCTCTATATATATATATATATATATATATATATATATATAAACCTGTATTAATAGATATTAGTATCTGCACGAGATTGAAATTTTTACTCGTATGCCTCAGAACCTATAAATATTAAACGGGTTATCTTTGCCCGAACACTTGCATGAACACCATTGTACATTTCCCGAATATTATACAGCGATAAATTGTTAAATAATTTTTCTACTGTTAATCCAATATAGTAATATTGGCAAGTAGCAAGTCAGTTGCCTTCTCAGGATACCCTATACATGTCAAACATTGTCAAATCTAGAGAATTATAATAAGCAACAATTATATAAAAGTCCGACTGTTTTTCGTTATATGAAGGCAATTCAGTAACTCCATCATTATCAGCTTCTGTGATTTTCAGATTGAGGAAATTAATATCTTCATTTGTAGAGCTGGGTAGACTAATATTCTCCAAACACAATGTCCTGGAACCATTCAAGTAAGACGGTTACTGCATGATCATGTATCTTGTAAAAGTAAGTCAACATGGGAATTCAGGGGAAGATAAGTGACGTCAAAGTTAGTGCTAATTTTTAAATATCAAGATTGTAGTGACAACGAAAACGTTCTATGGGAGGCACAAAACAGTAGTTCTTTGTGAGAAGCTCTCCGAATGGAACTTATATGTTAATTTTGAATACAAACAGAATTGGGATGACTGATGCATGTGTACGACGTAAAGGTGTGTCTCCGTTGTAAAAGACAGAGGTAAAGATAATGTACCTATTCAGAACACATTTCAATGTTAAGCAATACATTTTCTAACAATCTATTTAATACTCGATGGAAAATAATGAGATACACTTAGAAATATAGCCAGTGTTACCGTGAGAAATAAAGACTCTTTTATGTTTAATTTCTTCATATCATTAAATTATATTTCCATGAAATTACAATGTCCTTAGAAGCATCCTATCTTCCGTACGCAGAACAGTCTTGTGCGAATGCTGACATGGACCGATTTTCATAGATGAGGATTTAAATTGAATTCCGCCGGAACAAAATAAATATTTGCGGTTTTGCAGCGACTTTAGATGAAGAACGAGATAAGGCAAGGCGTTGAAAGAGTTTCATTAAAAACTGTTTGCAAGTTAAAACAAAGCTGCCTCTCGAGCTCGAAGAAATATCTTTTCACAATGGCTTCTTTGCTTGAATGTTTTCTACCAGTTGGATGTGTTTGAGAACTTTTTTTTTTCAATTACTCCAACTTGTAGATAAAAATCTTTGAGAGAAGCGATGGAGAAGTTCTAATCTAATCTACTACCAGCTATTTGTTATGCGGCAACTGCTGTTCTTGCATGAGGTCGCTTAATCAAATGGTCTGGTTAATCAATGGGCATGAGGTCTGTGTCGACTAACTCGATTATTCTAGGCACAAACAAAACAGTTTTACTTTTTTTTTTAGATATTTTACAATTTCCTTATCTGCTTCTGTTTATTTTCTATTTTATTTCATTTGTCAGGTCATTGTGGAAGCTTCTATGTAAAAATATATATTTTTAGTCTTTTTTTTTAAAGTAGTTTACGTTATATCTTTTTCAGTTTGGGAATATTTGTATTACATTCTTAATATTCTTTAATTTTTTTTATTTTTCTCTATTTTGTTCATTCTTCGTTACTTTATTTATTTCCATTCCTTATTCCGTTGGATGTACCGGTGGTAACATAGATAGTTGTTCAGCAATGCGATACTAGAAAGTACAGTTCGAAATCCAGTCGCGCTCCTTACATACTTCGTCTTGTACTTTTTATTTCTTCATATAAATCATTTCTTCTTGTGAATATCATTGGATAGGCGTACACCATCCACAGATTTTGGTGGAGAGATGGGTCATCACCATACCGCACTCGTCAAATGAGTAGTGTTAGGAGAGGATGTGACTCGCACAGGCAATCATAGGTCTTTTTGTTTCATGATCACAGAAGTGTATTTGTGTGTAATCACATATATACAGGATGTACATAAAGTTTGTGCGTACTTTAAAGTCATAAAATTCTTGATGCTCAATTAAATTTAAAATTTAAGATTTTACATTTTTAATTTTATAATTTCATTAAAAAATTATTAGTTCTACTGATTTCTAATTTAATCTAACAATAATATTCATGAATTAATTGATTGTATTTAGGGTCTGTTGTCAAGTTTTTGAATAACCATATAGTTTATGCTGATTGGTCATCACAGGTTACGTAACAATGTTTCCCTTATTGAGTGGGGTTTGGTTGGTTTTGAAATTTTAAAAGACTTTATTGTGCAAACAACACCATCACTTGACAAGACAACAGAAGTGTTGAAACAAAATGGCTGTTTTTGTAGTGATGTTATAATATGCTTATTTCATAATTTATATATATATATATATATATATATATATATATATATATATATATATATATATAATGTAATAATTCTTTTTAATTCTTCATAAAATCTTAATCTTTAAATTTTCAGTAAAGTTTGAAGAATGTCCTTCGACTGCTCGCACAGGCAATCAATTTTGTTTTTCTTGTGCCACAATCTATGTAAGTGTTCGCCCCAAAAGAATCAATATAAGGTTATGACTGTAGACATTGCTCTGTCCTCTATCGTTCACCAAAATCGCAAAGATTTTTTAATGCAATAAAGCTGATTCTTGGAGTTATAAGAACGAAAACTTTGTATTCTAACTCATGAAATTTCCTCTTCTTATTTTTGCTTTTTTTAAAATTTCGGTTTTGTGAATAGATAATAGTAGCCTGGAGATATTAGTATATCTGTAAGTGGAGTAATGTTTTTATTATATTCTCTTTCTATTCAAGAATCTTCTTTCTTTATGGGAAAAAATACGGTTCTTTGTATTTTTTTCTTCTATTTTTCTCCGTACTTTTCAAAACCAATTTGGCTTTCATAATAATGGCTAAAAAATTATTCGCTTTCGAAAAAAAAGAGTAAGAAAACACAGGGATGACATTTGACTGGTAAAGAATGAGCATAAGAAATAAAACAAAATATTGCGTTTCTTCTTTTATTTCCTTTAGTGCAGTCACTCTTTCTCTCAGACATAACGCCGACAATCTACCAAAGTCCGTTTCATTTCTCTATTATAGAGCGCGGCATATTTTCCTTCCCTTAATTCTTTTTATTTTTCATTTCCTTCTACGAAGAAGCTGGTTTCTTGTAACTCATTATAAAAGTTTACCTTGGAGAGAAAATTTATCATTTTAAACAAAGGCAAATATCAATTCTTTCCCAATGCTCAGTCGAAGGTATTCAATTTCAAAAATCCTATAATCAGCTATTTTCATACAGATATTTAATAGAGTCTGTAAATGGATGTACTTTTTTTATTCTTTATCGAATTGAAATGTAATAAGGATACTAAAGTTAAAATCGTTTTTTTTTCTGTTTAAAACGTTTAGGTTAACAGAGGATGTAACGCATAAAAAGCCTGAATCAAGACGATTGATGACCGCATGTGGTCGGAATTGGCCGAAACAAGTGTCCATATCCCATCGGTGAAACACGTTTATTAGCTTTGCTTTTTATTATATTTGACGATACATGTTTTATTTTCTATCATTTCTTCTTATTAGGAAGGTATTTTAATGTGTACACGTGTTTGACATGACATATCTGTTATTTTAAACATTACAATTAAGGTCAAAGTTACTGTTAAGTACATATTGAACAGATATAACAAAATATCTAACCACTCTGAATAACATAAAGAGGTTAAGTTCAGTTACTTAAATTATCTATCTATCGATCTTTCTCCTCTCTCTCTCTCTCACTCTCTCTCTCTCTCTCTCTATATATATATATATATATATATATTCATATTTATCTATCTTTCATCATCTATCTATATTTCTTGATCTATCTATCTACCTATCTAGTTATCTCTCTCTCTCTATATATATATATATATAAATATATATATATATATATATATATATATATATATATATATATATGTGTGTGTGTGTGTGTGTGTATATGTGTCTGTCTATCTCTCTCTGTCTATCTATCTATCTATCTACATCTGTCTATATTACTTGATCAATCAATCAATCAGTCAATCATTCTGTCACTATCTATCTATCTATCTATCTATCTATCTATCTATCTATCTGTCAATCCATTTGTCCTTATTTATTTATTCATCTCTGTCTGTCTGTCTGTCTCTCTCTCTCTCTCTATCTATCTATCTATCTTCATCTATCTATCTATATATATATATATATATATATATATATATATATTATCTATCTTTTATCTAACTATATTTGCTGATCTATCTATCCGTTACTATATCTCTCTGTTTGTCTGTCTGTTTGCCTATCTCTCTATGCATATACACACACACACACACACACAAACACACACACACACACACACACACACACACACACATATATATATATATATATATATATATATATATATATATATATATATATATATATGGATGAATATCAACATGTAACTGTGCTAAAATTCATAAACTAGATAGCCGACTCCACTTATTTCGAATGTCCCGAAACATATGTACATATTCGATGAAAAATAATTAAATTAGCTGAAAGATAAATAAAATTTATTCTACTCGATTTACCTAAATTTAGTATTAATACAATCCATGGATTATTTCAAACCCTACCACAAGATGAAACTTTAATATTATTACTGATGAAAACAATCGGTATTATTTGAAACAATGTTATCTTCATTCTTTACCTTTAAGACTTTATACTCCACATGGAGAATAACATATTTTAAAAAGACATCCATTTCATGACTTTCTACGTAATATCTATACCTAGTCTAACGTTACTACCATCGATTGACATCGAATTTGAATATTTGGAGATTATAGCTATAAGGCAAAAATGTAAGAGGAAAGGTGTTCCACAGACAGGGTGTGCGAGACATGAGGCTTTCGAAGTAGAAGCGACGCCTACATTTAACCGTTTTGACAGTGAAAGAGGGGGACTGAGATGCCAACCTAATAGAACGTTTAAATTCATGCAGTTTGGGAACCAGCGAAAGTAGCTCGTCGGAGCAGTTATCGTGAAAGTGTTTGTAGAAAAGATAGATGGAAGAGACTGCACGTCTGTGAGAGTGCGACTGTAAACGAAGAAATTCAGAAAAATGTTAATACACACACACACTTATATATATATATATATATATATATATATATATATATATATATATATTCGGGGTTCGATCATAGCTAGAGGCAACCGGACGTCTATAAGACTGATGATCTTTGATGCAGCGAAACAGTCTCTCTGTGGATAAAAAATATATGCTCCTGAAAAAATTATTTCGGTTGAGCTCTCTGGGAATGAATGTGGGTTTGTAAACAGTGATTATTACGGCTAATAATGCATGACTCTTCGATAAATCGAATCGAGTTCTCTCAGTCACTTTGTGCTTATCTAAAAATAAATACGCTTAAATTCACCTTCCTGCCTGCCGCACGCCAATGGCTTAGGGGCAGAATCTCCGACTGATGGAAATTCAGTCGGGTTTCGATTCTAAATAGAGGAAACCGGACTCTGACGAGCTGTAAAACAGTCTGTCTGTGGATGGCTATATATATATATATACTTTTTTTTTTTGAAAAGTATATTTTAAATTAAACGTTATCCAACATCTACACAATAGAATCAATTTTTTTCAGTGCGATTTTTTCGATCTAATTATTTTTCCATAATTTAATATATGCACCTTTCATCTACAATAGAATGTCTTGAAATACATCTGTTTGAGTCTTTGGCACACATCGTCAGTGAATGTTAACTAGGGTTCGTTAGCGGTTTCAGGTTTTTCAACATCATACCCACTGTCCATGTTGACCCAGCCGGTACTGATCGGGTATTGATTTGTGTACCATCCGTCGGATTTTCTCATTTTTTAGTCACAAACAGCGACACTTATGTCGGATAAATTCTTGTTCACCAGCCATCTACGCACCTCCATATAAAAGAAGCAGATCTGTAACGGTTTCAGTTTAGTAAATAATATAGTGACACGCGCGTCTTGATGTGCTAATTAAGGATTTTCTTATGATAATTTGACTAGGCCATTCACTTATTTGTTATATCATTATTTAGTTTCGTATTTTTGTGTCAGTTAAATCAATTTACATAAGACATTTAAAATTCAGTGATATTACTAATTAGAGATTTTCATGATGTTTTGGCTTTTGGGGTAGGCAACGCTTAAAACCTTTTACAATCATAAGTTGGAAAACATTTAAAGAAAACGGAAAATTAATTTTCAAAATTACTCCTCATTTTAACCCAGCAGCTAGCAATCCATTGTAACAATTCAAAAACAGATTGTAAAGTATAAAGAGCTTCATCAGAAATCGAACATGGCTCATTGACAACAAAGCAACAAATGCAGTTGTTCAGGGTAGAAGGACGACATCAATTTTTTTTTTTTACATCTTCCCTTTTTGTTTGTAACAGCGCTATTTGTGCAGTTCAAAATGGCGCTACCGTTTTATTTTCTCTTTACATTTCACAGACATTCTTGTCTTTCATTTCCGTTTCTTCGTATCAACTTTGCGTTTCGATTCGATTTTCATGTCGAACTTTGATGTACACATGATACACGCTTCAAAACTTTGATTTAAATTGCTCTAAACCAAACAGATTTAAATTTATGAGATTTTTTGTATATTTGATCTCATCCTATACGTTGTTGTTCTATGTGTCCTGACACTGTTAAGGATTCTACAAAAAATATTTCCTCGATTAAATGAAAACTTAAAAAACCGCTTCCGAGAAAAAAAAAATAAAACTCCAAATATGTGATTTCAAAACGTTCTTTTCCAAAGACATCTCCTTCAGAACAATTTAAAACGATTTCAGCCGACAGAGAATAAATACACATTGGAATTCCCTATGCCCATTAAACATGGAGGTTAGATGGGAAGTGATTGGATTTGTCTTTTTATTTCTATCTAAGCGATTGTGTATATAAATGTTTCTGCATGGCCATATGCATGGGACACTTGTCTTTTTCAAATGCGGTCAATATATTCGTCCAAAACCAGTTTTAAACAATTCAGTCACATGTAAATATAAGAATTCATTTAAATTTAAAATGGTTACTGAAATATACATTGATACATATTTTTTATTTATGCTTATAAAATTATAATTAACATTATATCAACTAAAAATACATTTAGGATTATGAATAAAATTTCAATTACTTAACTAAGATATACACTAAGAACAGAAAAAATCTACGTTAAACTCTTTCTTTTTACTCCTACAATTCTTTCCACTAATATTACTCCTGCTGCTGCTAATACTACTTCTACTATAACTAATTATTATTTGATCATATAATATGTTTTTTAAGTAAGGATGTGCAAACCGATGAATTTAGCATTAACATGTCATGTGTTTTAAGGGCTGTTGTCCCCCACCCCGACTAACGACGAAAAGGAAAACTTCATCATCTGCTCCACAATTCTTATCTATGAACACGTTCAACTGTTGATCGATTATCAATAAATAGATTAACATATCAGAAAAAAAAAATCTGCAGAAAGTTTTATATACAAAATTTTATAAGTAATATTATTTTCAAATCAGATTAATTTAACTTTAAATATTCTAATTTTCGTCAATTGACATCTCACAAATATATATTTTATTTTTGCAAGATTTTTTAAAACTGGGAAAGGTTTGGTTTAATATATGTAAAAAAAAGGCTGTTTGTTCGTTTTTACGGAAAACATCCATTCAGATTAAATAATTACTGTTTGAAATACACCATTAAATATTCTGATTACTGCAAATAGTAAATTTTAAATCCTTTAGCTTTCAACTGACGCGAAAATTAAAGATTCAAGTAGCACTTTTCATTTTTTAAATTCATTTTACACTTTACGTATATCGAAATAGTGGAAGTCGATATATATATATATATATATATATATATATATATATATATATATATATATATGTAATGAGGCATGTGTTATTAAAGACTACGGAACATTTCCGTTTAATAATGTTTTCTTTTTAGCTTTCCTCGCCAGTTTTTTTTTTATATTTTGGTCTAAATTTTAATTTTGGTCTTTAAATGCCCGTTTTGAGCACAGACATCAAACACACAACCACAACTCACACACGTCTCCTTACATACCATCTTAATGACACCTGCGCCAAAAGAATAAATTACTTTATAATATCATTCTGTAAAACTAATAACAGATACAAAGCCTCAGAAATAAGAAAATATCCTAATCAATAACAAATCTTCTACAAAAACAAATGCAAAAAACGCTTACAGTTTTGAAGACATCACAAATAAAAAAACCTCTACAAGAATAAAATAGCATTTTTACTGGTAGAAACATCTTAAAAATATTTAATAAGTAATCCTCAAAATAATAAATATAACTCCCCTCCTAAATGCTAATGAACTAAGCCAACAATACTGCCTAAATACACAAAGTATTACCTAAAATAAAATATTAAGCAACTTACTTCAAACCAAAACCTGTAGCCATGATGACACTTGACGACAACCAAAAACGTTCGGCAAATCACGAAGTACTAGTGTCTTTTCTCAACAGCCCAGATCCATATATATATATATATAAAACATCTTGCGAGAAAACAAGAAAAAAATTAGATGTTAATCAAGACACATAAACCTACTTTTGATATGCGATTCGAGTTTCGTTCTATACACAATTCATCAGGAACGAGATATCGCTTATTGTTTATATTCAATTTTGTTTCTTCTTTTTCAAATAACTTGGCAATGTTTCAATCCTGCTTACTTCGAAGTTTCGTAGGCACATAGATATTACTTGGCGACGGAGCAGAGTTGGACTCTCCTGGACTTTTTTGTATGTATATATTCTGGTGTGAGTATGTTATTTTTACGTTTTCGCTTGACGAATGTGTGCTGTTACATAGTTGTTGACTTCTTTTTTACACACTGCCTTTCGTTTATTTATTTATTTATTTTTTCAGATTCTTTCCAGATCTTCTCCATTGATCTTTACAGTTGATCTTTTGTCGAATACTGCTGTTACTATTTGATTTAGGACTTTTTGAATTTCAGTCTGTGTATGTATTTTTGTGCAGGCGTGTGGTTATA